GTCTGCTCAGCCTTCCTCTCCTCCTCCCCCTCTTTCTCCCCCTCACCCCCTTTCTGTCTCTCTCTGTCCTTCTTCCCCATCCTCTCCCTCTCTCCCTCTCTCTCCCTGCCCCCTTTCTGTTCTCCTACCTCCTTCCTTCCCCAAAAAAGAAAACAAAAAACTGTAGACATCAACCCACCCAACATTGTTTTTAATAACAAAATAATGAAAGTACCTAAATGTTATCAATAGTCAATTGGTTGAATAACTTTTTTAAATATGTGTGTGTGTGCATAGTCAGGTGAAAAAGCAAACTGCAAAACTAAGGAGGAACCCGTTTATTTTTAAAAGGAGAAGAGTATACTGTATAGATTTCATGTCTCCAGAAGGATTCACAAAAAGCTGATAATATTTATTATTTCCTTAGAAAGGAATGGGGTGGCTAGAGAACCGAGAAGGTGACTTTCACTCTGTTGTATCTTTTGAGTGTGGATGTACAGCATATTTTGAATTAATAAAACTAGAATTTAAAAAAAAAAGCAGCCAGGCACAGTGGCTCACACCTGTAATCCCAGAACTTTCGGAGGCTGAGTCAGGTGGATAACCTGAGGTCAGGATTTGAGGCCAGCCTTGCCAATGTGGTGAAACACCATCTCTACTAAAAATACAAAAAAAATAGCCAGTCGTGGTGGCGGACGCCTGTAATCCCAGTTACCTGGGAGCTGAGGCAGGAGAATCAATTGAACCTGGGAGGTAGAGGTTGCAATGAGCCGAGATTGTGTCACTGCACTCCAGCCTGGGTGACAGAGCGAAACTCCACCTCAAAAAAGAAAAAAAAAAGCATGCCATTTACTTCACAACCAACAATTACAGAGAGCCACCTGCAGCCAAGGCTTTAGGCTGGGCCTTAGGAGATACACCTTGGATAGCCAACCTCTTCCCTCTGGCTGGTTAGGGCCTTGTGGGGAGGTCGACATGGACAGTTACAGATTGTCCCAGGTCCAATGAAATTAGGACAACCGAAGTGTCACCAGCTGCCTGCAGTAGGGAGATGCTATTTATTTCCACCAGGGAAGGCATTTGAGTTCTCTTAACAGAACAGAGGGTGGAGTGGCTGGGATGGGAGTAGGAAAGCCTTTTATGAAGAGGGGAAAAAAACAGCAAAGGTACAAAGCTACCAAGAGTTGGCCCAGCATAGCTAGAGCCCAGGATGTGCAACAGAGAGCAAGGAGGAAGTGATCGAAAAGGAGGGTTGAGGCCAGATCCTGCAGGTCCCTAAATGCCAAACCAAAACTGTAAACTTCATCATTTTGAGGACAATATCCAGTAAAGGTTTTTGAGGCTCAGCAATCTAACCTGTTTTTTAAATATGTATATATAATTAAAATTATTGTATTCAGCCGGTGCGGTGGCTCACACCTGTAATCCCAGCACTTTGGGAGGCCGAGGCAGGCAGATCACAAGGTCAAGAGATCGAGACCATCCTGGCCAACATGGGAAACCCCGTCTCTACTAAAAACAAAAAATTAGCTGGGCGTGGTGGTGGGTGCCTGTAGTCCCAGCTACTCGGGAGGCTGAGACAGGAGAATTGCTTGAACCTAGGAGGCGGAGGTTGCAGTGAGCCAAGATCGTGCCACTGCACTCCAGCCTGGCACCTGACAACAGAGCAAGACTCTGCCTCAAAAAAAAAAAAAAATTGTATTCTTGGATCACAAGGAGGAGAACAAAAAGGGGTCCTTAAAACAGGCAGAGTGCCTCCACTATAATTAAGGGTCCTTGCTTACAGGTTCCGACTATTTGGGGCCCCCTTGTTTTATTCTCTGGGCTCTTTTGTGAGTTCCTTGGGAGCTCGTTAAAGCCATCCCACTTAAATGACACAGTTTGGTTTTAAATAACCTTTCCACTTTTTGCCAAAGGCTGAAACCCTTCCTTAGCTATGCTGAGCACAGTCCTATTGGGACAGTCTGAAATTTACATCATGTGAACCTTGTTAGGAGCGATGCGAGATGGGCAGTTTCAGCTGCAGCCCGATGTCCCTAAGGAACCATCCCCAGCCTGGAAGGCTGTCCTGACTGAATCACAAGCTAAAGATGATCCTCTAACTTCAAGAAAGGGAGGTAAATTCCTAAGGCAGGAGGCAGAGCTTCCTGGGAGAAACAGGTTACTAAGGATAATGCCACTGGAGGCATTTCACTTTCGATTTAATTCAGATTTCCCCTCAGAGGAGCAAAAGTTCCCTGTGAATCACTGGGTAAATGCCACTTAGGCATTCGCCAAGGTCCGGGGACCAAACAGGTATGAGAGTGGACATCTTAGCATCTGCAGACATTGCCAACAGGTGCCACAGGAAACAGAAAAAACGTTAATAATACCATCAGGCGGTCACTCAGTTTGCTTCCAGAACATTCCCTTGGGAGAGCCCCTGACAGAAGAATTATCTAATACAGTGAACTTATTTTTAGTGAGCATTTATCCTATGCAATGTACTCTTCCGGATACGCGGCGGGACACAGGGGTCATGTTCAGGATGTGCTCCCTGACCGCATGGGGGGGTACAGGGGAGACTTTTTATGATTTAATCCCCACCTATTTGTGAAAAAAATCTGAGATAACTTCATTAAGTGGAACACATCATAAGATAGATACATTAAAAATAAATACAAAGCTGGGCACGGTGGCTCACGACTATAATCCCAGCACTTTGGGAGGCCAAGGCAGGTAGATCACTTGAGGTCAGGAGTTCAAGACCAGC